ACACCGCAGCATCTAAGCCGTTGACGTGGGCTCCGATTAAATGGATGTCATTGCTCCAAACGGCACAGTCCTCGTGCAACCAAACTTCAAAGCCGTTCTCCGAGGTCTTTCCCATGCCGCGGAACGTCTCCACAAACTTGGATTCGGTACTGCAGTCCAGTGGGTCCACGGAGGAGCATTGTGAGCGGGTCTCATTTGGATCGTCGCTGTAGGATATCGAGCTATCGTGCGTCTGCTTGCGCTTACGTTTATGCTAAAATAAAGTTGTATTTGGTTTGTTGTTAATTTTGCAAAGCAGAGTTGTATGTAAGTCTTACCATGCTTATCTTAGGTGCTTGCATAATGGTGGCTAACGTGGCAGGCACAGCGGGCAGATTCCGCTCCTGCCCCTTCACCATGTCCTCGCGCCTCCGTTTGTTAACGAATAGTCCATCGATGTCTTGTGCTCCGGGTGCCTGCACAGCGGCACGATACTCGTCGCAGTCGCTAGTCACTAGATATGGACCGAAGAGGTCACCTAGGCCGAGCTTATGAGGACCCCGCTTGCAAAAGACACATATCCATGTGGAGTCGGTGGTGTCCGCATCATAACGATTGCTCAGCGTGGAGCTGTGCATTCCCCGCAAGTTTTTTCGTTCGTGCGGCGCCTTTTTGGCCTTCGTCTGCTTTTCGTTTACGTCCTCGGCACTGTGTGTGTTTTTGATGCTCACGCTTCCATCCGGTTTGATTAGTATAAACGGAGATTTGAACCTCAGCTCGGGAACGGAACCTCCTCCATTTGTGGGCGCCGGAGTGCTATCCTCGTCGGTGGTAAAGGCTGGTTTTCGGGCCGATTTTTTTCCGTTCTGTTTCGCATTCTTTGCATTGCCCTTTGCCGCTGATCCCTTCTTTCCCTTGACCACGGCGCTCTTTTTTTTTCCTCCTGCGGCAGGTTTGCTTTTGGTAGCAGAAGCCGCTTCGCTTAGTTGGCGAGCTGCGAGAGCTGCAGCAGCTGCCGCCGAGGTGCTAGGCTTGTCATCATCTTCAAAGTCCGGCTCTTTAACCACTTTCTTTTTACGACCTGGCTTTTTGGCAGGCGGATCGTCGATCATAAAACGCAATAGTGAGGCATCCATGCCCATGGAAAGTCGACGGGGTGGCGGTCTCCTGGGCACGGGGGCTTTAGCTGGAACAGGAGTGTTCGATTTACTGTCATCTCCTGCAGCCAAGGGTGTCGATGTGGAGCGAGATTGGGGTGTGGAACTGTGCACGGGGCTGGGCATTGTAGACTTCATCGCCGCTTTGGTGGCAACCGGCCGAATTTCGGGCGTAGGTGCTGGATTGGGTGCCAGGACTGCAAGCACTGAGGTCTGATTTTCCGTTGGCGTATCGAGCGTTTTCGTAGTGTCGAGAGCCAGCTGGGCAGTTAAATCGTGTGCAACCATCGCTTCCGATTCTTCTGCTGGCTTTTCTGGGCTGGATATCCTTTCCGTCTCCTCCTCAATGCCGGCAAACATTTGCTCTAGCTTATCCTCCACTTCCCCAAAGGGACAAGACTCAGAGTTGGCAGCAGGTGATGATTTCTTGGGGGATTCGGTCGCAGGAGGCGCAGCAACAGCAACAGAAGAGGGTGGAACAGGATGCGCAGGCGATTCCTTGTTCGCAGCTGGTTCCTCTTCCTCGTCACATTCGTGCACACTTACCGCCGGCTTAGCATCGATGTTGCCCTGTTCTACTAGGGCAGGAGATGCGGGGGTGTCCGTAGTGGCTTTATTATTAATCTCAGGCTTCGGATTATTATTGACGGCATGGCTACTTTGGCTGCTATGCGTGTTTGCGCTAGAGCTGCTGGAGGTGCTGCTGCTGCTATTGCTCTGCGGACTAGGTGGTGGCATTGCAGGAGATGTATGCTTTTTGGAAGGCTCATCGTCCTGCTGCATTCGGTGCTGATCTGTACGGTTCCGCTGCAGCAGCGCCTGCCGCTGCTTCTTGGTCTTGGGGTTTTCATTGTCGTTATACAGTGTGGAACTATTGCTGTTGCTATTGTTTTCCGCAGGAGCCGGTGATCCTCCACGACCGTTCTCTTGCGGCGTCTTCTCATTCTGGGTTTGCGACTGGTTTTGCAAACTGAACGGCTGAAACTCACCGCCTCCATTCTTGGGGGACTTTTTGGGGCTGCAGCTGTTGTTGATGTGCGTTGGCGTTTGATGCTGCGGCTTGTTATTTTCTCCCTCTGGGGCATTTTCATTTGGTGTTACTCTCATCACCATACTGGCTTTTCGTTTGCGGCGTTTTCGGCTATTACTGCTGTTACTGTTTGATTCCAAAGATTCCTCATTGGAGGTGGTCAGGTAGGGAGACTCAGGAGCTTCGGGTACCGAATTCGCTGCAGTTTTATCTGCCTCAGAGTTTCGATAGGACAGATCAGTTATAACAGGCTGTTCCTCTGACTCTGGTTTGTGTTTTACTGCCAGATCGAGATTCGTCAATTGCGCGTTACGGGAATGATGTGTCTGATGTTGACTTGAGGATGCTGTTTGCTGCTGACCCGCATCCTGTGGTTGAGCGTGAAATTGTTCGCTGGTCAAGAGTGGTGGTAGAAGCGGCGGTGGAGCTGTTTGGCTGGTCGCATGCTGATTGTGGTAGTGTAAGTGCTGGGGGTGTGATTGTGATTGCGTCTGATCCTGCTGAATGTGCTGGTAGCTTCCTCCACTGGAGCTATTAAGCTGATGGTGCAAATGCAGTTGATTGTAATCCATAGTGGGTGATAAGATCTGGTGAGGAAGGGCAGCCAGCGGAGACTGAGGCGTAGGCGGCGTCTGTGGTCCATTGTATTTGGGGGTTAAGTTGTAAGGCGGCTGCTGTTGCTGGTGATAGTTTCGTAGAGGTGAGGCTAAAAAAAGATTTTAAATTAATATTCTAATCATTCTATATACCGTGCCATGGGTCTTACGTTTCTTGTTGGCATGTTGCTGCTGTACATTGTGCGTTGGCAGTTTGCTCGCTGAGCTCGCTAAAGGGTATCCAAAATCCTTTTCCTTCTGTGGATTCTTCCCCGAGAGATCGGGGTCAAAGTTGCGTTTTAACTGCGTCAGCTTAAAATTCTCATCGCGAGATTGCATGTAGTGCGGGCTGGTTATATGATTGTTACTCCCACTATTACTGCTGCTGTTGCTTCCAGTGTGATTGGTGTTCCCAGAAGCAGATGTTGGCGGTGGTGGCGGAAGCAGAGACTCGCAGTCGCCTCCATTGCTGAGGCTACCTGATGGGGCTCCCTGATTTTGGCGGCTGGAATGCAGCAAACTGACATGGGCAGCTGCCATGGCTACCAGATGCTCCTGTTGCTGCTGCTGTTGCAGCTGCGCGCTGGTGGGCGTGGCATTGGTTGTGAGATTTTGACTGTTTCGTAGAGAAATTCCTCGGATGAATTAAATTCATTTATATAAAATTAATGCACTTACATTGAAGGATAATTGGGGGGATGTATGAGGGATTGTTGTTGCTGTTGGGTCTGATGCGATTGCTGATTCGGCGATTGCTTGGCCAGCGGCTGGGCCGCACTTCGTGCGGACTGTAAGGATAAGTCCATGGAGTTGAATGGCAAAGTTCCTGAGTAGGGCGGTGCCAGCAATGGGTTCATCTGATGGTGGTGGTCCAGCTGAGGATGACAATACGAACTTAGTGATAACTGATTGGAAAGTAATAAATAAAACAAATACAGGAAATGGCATCAAAAAGCAAACACAGATATCAACAACTAAACGATACTAAAGAAGGCATCTACGGGCCAAATGGCGAAGAAATCGAGCATGCTTTTGGGAAATACTAGGATCTGGATAACTGGCAGCTTGATCTCGACGGTTTCTCGCTTTGGCCTAATTACATTTTTGTGATTGGCCGACATGAAATTGTAAATGGCATCGGGTGGCGGTGGAGGCTGGGCGGAAACGGATCCAGAAACGTGCCAGGCCAACGGAGATCGCACCATTCCGGGCCGTTCGTTGGACATGTGCGCCAACTGTGGCTGACGGGGTATGTACGAAGGAATCTGAAGATTAAGTGGATGTCAGTTTTCGGTTTTGACCAAAGACATTAGTCCCACTTACTTGTAATGGATTCCAGGAGGCGTTCTGGGCTGCCTGGCTGAGATGCCCAGGATGGGGATGGTTGTTGTTGGCCATCTCTTTCGGCGGCAGCTAACTTAGGGTGCTCGTATATGTCACCCAGATCATGGACTGTCGTCTCTAGGCAATCCTTCGGGCTAATGCGGAATGTTAATGAAAGCCCGACAGCTGGGAATTGGGAAACGCTGCGGCTGGAGGGAAAGGCGACCTAATCTTGCTGGGCAGGATCCTGCACACGAATTTGCTAACTCCGGCCGGACAGCCGCTGCTCTTTTTCACCCATAAACAAGACCGCACGCACTTTTTTCACACACCACCCACACACCAACCCACTCGGAAAGGGCAAAAAAAATTTCTTTCGCCGCTCTCGTGGTCCTTGCGCGAACAGTCGATAACACAACCTATCGGACAGATGACAGCGCGTTGTTTTGCACGCTACGCCAAACGCACGCGGTCCTCTGTACTGCCGAACGTCCTGACAACATTGTTTATTAGCCACTGATCCATGATCAGTTTTGTATGGCGTATGCGTAAAGCGGTATTAATTTATTATTGCGAAGACACAGTTTTCTTAATTATCGTCAAGGGCGGGGATGCTAGGTTGTACCTTTTAATTTTCAGCTGCAGCGCATTGCGAATTCGTTGCGACTGCGTGCAAATTTTTCTTGTTTTGGGTCGCTCAGCGCAGGCAAATGGAGCCCGTTTTCCAAAACGCATGAGCCGGTGGCGTTTAAGCGGCTAACACATCGCGCCGAACAAGGGGACCTAACTAAATAATATTTTGCAAATGCCGCAACTTTGTTTCTGTGTTTTTACGGGAATTTAAAATTGTTAAAAACAAAATGTAATTTATTAGAGCTGGAACTAAAATCGATATCCATTCCACACTATCGATATTTGGCCCCGTTGGGAAACATCGATGTTTCTTTGCCACTATCGATTAGTTCTACGGTCACTTTTTCTAAAAAATTAATTATAAAAAATAATCCTATTTTAAAACATATTCTTTCAATATTTTTACGAAGAGGGGCTTCCCGAACGGAATATTTTAAACACGAATATAAATACCGAAAAATCAATATGGATATCAATGCATGTGTGTATATGTATGTGTATGTGTGTTTACAATTGCATTTATATCGCAATGAACGCGGGAAAACGTGGAGCATTAATAATATTTGAAGGTTGTGACCGCAGTGGAAAGTCCACTCAGAGCCAGTTGTTGGGTAAGTAACGGAGTCCTTATGATACCCGAATATAATCTGCGATTTATTTTCTAGTTGCGCTCCTGAATTCAAAGGGTATTCCGGCATTGCCCATGAACTTCCCGGAACGCAGTTCCATCATTGGCCAGGTGATAAACTCCTATTTAACCAACAGCAAGGATCTGCCGGATGAGGTGATACACCTAATGTTCTCCACCAACCGCTGGGAGCACATGAACTACATAAAGCAGAATCTGCATGAGGGCCGCACAGTGGTTGTGGATCGATATTCCTTCTCTGGAGTGGCATATAGTGCAGCCAAAGGATTGGACTTCGATTGGTGCTATGCTCCGGAAAGGGGGCTCATTAAACCAGATGCAGTTTTTTACCTAAGAGCACCACCAGCTGACCTTACAAATCGGACACAATACGGCGAAGAGCGGTCAGTAAAGCATGTGCATTAAAATGACCATCAATATTACAATCCATTGCAATTACAATGCCATTACAGTTATGAGAAAGTGGAGTTCCAGGGTCGTGTGGCCAAGGTATTCGATCGCATTTGCTCCGAGCAGGGCAGCTATTGGCACCAGTTTGATGCCACTAAGCCTGTGGAGGATTTACATGCCCAGATAGCGAGCATTACGGAGGAGCTCCTGCCCAAAGTGGGCACGCAACCCCTGGAGATGTTATCATAGCAAACGTCCTCGCATCATCATTCATTAGGGATGATTTACATTGGGATTTACATTGATTTATACAATACACGAATGTTTGTTATAAATGTTTTAAATGCCGCTTTACTTTTAATTTACGATAAAGCTGCAGGCAATAAATCCAAACGAACGATATCGTTAGGTGTTGAGCCAAATGAATTTACAGAATTGCACGCCAACTGGATTAAGAAGCGGGATTAAGTGAAAGCCCAGTGGGACATGCAATTTAATTTCATTAATCCCTCTTCATGAAAAGCCAACTTTTGTTGCTCCATTGTAGTTCGTTTATTTTATACGCCATTACTAGGGACTCTCTCTTCACTAAATGCTAAGCTTAAGCGAAAATAATTTATGCGGATCAAACTTAGTTGCTAAACCATCAATAAAGGCACGCGAATCCAATTAGGCGTAGTCCTTCAAAACTAGTTAAAATCGTAGCTCTCATAGCCCATATCCTCGCGTCGACTGCGGGGAGCTGGTTTGGGATTCCTTGTCCTCAGGGTCAGCTGGCGGTAGCCCACTCCAGGCTTGTAATCTACATTGATGGGGGCTTGGGGTCGCAGACCGGTCACGCCTCCCCGTCTCTTCTGCGCCTGATGATAGAAGGCTATGTCGCCGTAGCTGTGCTTCGGCCACATGCACTCACAACCAGAGGGCACCGTCCGCGTCTCCGATTCCCAGCAGCCGGAGGCGTCGTTCAGTCGAATCAGGTGGATGGTGCGGTTGAGCTGGATGCACGAGAAGCCCGTCGCCGAGCAGATCTGAATGAAAGTATCCTAAAGGTTATTTAACTGAATATTTGTTTTAATTTATGTAGCTCACCTCTCGTTTCTCGCTTCGCTCGGAGAGCAGAGCTCGGAGCAGTTCATTGCCCCTGTAACCATATTCGTAGTTGTAGTTCCTCGAGGGCTGGGGTGAGTAGCTGTGGGCACAGGTAACCTCCACATAGTGATTGGGACGGTAATCGCCACTTTCCAGCTTCACGGTCACCCGATTTGTGGGACACAACGACTGATAAGTGACCACCTGTGAATGGGCAGAAGCAAAGGCACTAATTAATATCATAAATTACCTTATAATAGAATTATAGTTATTCTAATGTCTTTGGCAGAAGTACTTAAATTGTTAGTATAGTATCCAGCCATGTTTATTATAATATGCAATTAAATTGAAGTACTTACACCATCTGAGCTGGGATTGGGACCCAAAAAAGGCTCCGGTGGCATCACACTGCGAACGCGGCGCTTGCGCACATTCTGGATCCCGTAGGGCAGTTGGGAACTCAGTTCGTCTGCGTCCTCCTCCTGTCCGGCGTAATCCTCCTCACCCTCAATGTCCACATCATCTAGACCGCCAGATGGTAACTCATTGTTGGTGAACTCTGGCTGACCTGGTTCCCCTGCTCCTGCTCCTGCTCCGGCTTCATCCATGGCTGACCTGAAATTGCATATGCATGGAAATTTGTTAGTTTTGGCCATGAATTAGCGCTGCTCTCATCTCGCGGCCCACTGGAGCTGCTTTCGCCAACACGGCTGCCTGATGTCGCCGCAGGCAAGCGGAAATGACTGCAAAAGCGGTTTTACACATGACGAAAAATCTCTACGACTCATGTACAAAACTGACAGATATTTTAACTTATCCTAAATGATTATAAAACTTCCTCATACTCAATTACAATTTTTATATTGCAGTATTTAATTTGAACATATTTAATAATAGCTCAATATGGCCAGGACACTTTTGTGTAATTTAAGGAAGAATTTAAAATGATCCTACATTTGCAATTACTTTTTCTCTATGTGAAATTGCTTGCGGTGGCGTGGCTAAAAAAATATAAGTTCGTTTTTGACGTTTGTTATTTGCATGGCCGCCGTTTCTTTTCTGCAATTTTTCCAGTTGGCCAACAAAAGCGCATCATTTTGCATTCAACTGCAGCAAATGCCAATGAATTTTTTAGCTTTCGCTTTGGCGCGCGGCTTTGTCCGTGGATGGGGCCATTCAGATTGGTGGGCAGGAGGTGCTCGTGGTGATGGCGTTGTCCTGAGCCTGTGGCGCGGCACAAAGCTCTCCGCTTCGCGAATGTCGTTGCCTGCCAGCGGATTTCCCCTTTCGTTGTCAATGACTCAGTACATCTCCCATACCCTGATTCCCATTCCTTTCCCTATTCTTCCTGCCCCGGAGCTTTAGCCCTCCGATCCAGCGGCGTTGGCATTTTTGAAGCCCTCTTTCAGGGCAACAACGGCTTTGATAGTTTTGTCGCAAAGTTTGTGAAAATGTTTTGAAATGAATGCAGCTGGAATAGTTGAGGTGAGCGCTGGTTTAAATTAGCACGAAAGGGGCTGTTATTATATGGTTTTGAGTTCTTGTACCAGAGAAAATTTGTGATTTTTATGTGAATGCTTTCTAAGAGTTTTATATTAAATCGCTTTTTGTTGACAGCTAAGCTTTTGCTTGTATATATTTTCTACTTATATGAATTAAGGATAAATCCCACAGCCAGAAAACCCGGAAAAAGTGGCAGGGTATCCTTTCTGCTGAGAGCAACTTGAATTACTTGCTTTTTCTTCTCCAAGGATTCCTCAGTCATATTTCGGTTGGAATATTCCTTTATATTCCTTATATTATATTGCTCCTTTTTTTGGCGCATGCAAGACGCAGATTACGTAATCCCTGACTCAGAATGCACATGATCCTTGCAGCTTCTGATCTCGTTCAATCTGACAAAGGGGATAAAAAGTGGCCGCCTAGGGGAATCAGCTTAAGTGCTTACGTTTGTGCTCACGCTTACGTCATGGGATGTCGTCATTGACTTTTAGTTGATATGCAACCAGCAAGCCAGAGCGCAGATTATTCGGACTGCCGTCTGCCGGGATGGATGGCTTCTGCAGATGGAATAGGATCAGCAGGAGGGGAAGCAGCAGCAACTGCAACTTGTGCGGCCAGAGGAGCGAGCTTTACGGCTTGGATCCCCTTTGTCGGCTCCCAGCATATGCAGCCACATATCCCGAATCTGAACTCATGAATGCGCGCTGTCCGCCACTTCAACGAATTTTTCATACTCTCCTTATGTAGTGATGCCTTGAATTTAGGGTACTAATCATTCCAGGTTTTTAAAATAAGAAAAGGGCAACATTTCGTTAGCATGTATGCATATGAAAGAAAATTTGGGAAATTTTTGACACTCGGGCATTACTTTTGGCTAAAATATAGGTAAAAGTAAATGTTACCTCTTCCATCACTGGTCTTACCTTTGGTTGATGTTGCTGCTGCGGCTGCGACGCGCCAGCAACAAGGGCTCCATCTCCTCCGCTGGCTGCAGCCAGTTGATGTTGCTGCTGTCCTTGATGTTGCTGTTGTCCCGGTCTTTGTCCTGGTTCTGGGGAACAGCAAACCTGCCCATACCTTGAACGGCCGCATTTAAGTCGGACAATTGCAGACGGAAGTCGTTGCGAGCATTCTCTGGATCATCATCAAACTGCCCCAGTCCCATTCCCAGTGCCATTCCCATGCCCTGTTGCTGTTGTTCGAGTTGCTGTTGCCGTTGGTGCTGTTGCCGTTGGTGCTGTTGCTGTTGCTCATGTTGCTGCTGCTGCCGTTGTAGATGTTGCTGCCTGTCGTATATGCTGTGGATGGGATTTCCGTAGAGTTTTTGCTGCTGTTGCTGCTGCCATTTGGCCGATGCCTTGTTGTAGTTATAGTTGTCATTGTTGTCGTCCTCGTTGCTATCTGCAATGCCATCAACGTCCACATCCCCGTGCACCCACTTGTAGTTGTAATCGTCGTAGTTGTTGTCCATGGCGCTTCTATAGCTAAATCTATTGTTTTTGAGCCCCGGCGTCGATTCCATCGCCTCCTCGCAGGCCATGGCGAGCGTTCGTCTAGAAGAGCCACTACCAAAACAGCGAGCAGCTAGAACGACGGCCAGGAGCAGCTGCAAATGTGGCAGAAACAAAGAGATTTGCTCGATAAGAAGGGTGCGGCACGAACGGAAATGTTAAACAATTGTTGTGTGGCTAATAAACTGCAAAGTGTCAACAGTTGTCGGGGGTTGGGGGCTTGATATGCAAATACCCCTCAATTCGTATCGCAAACAATGCATGCGGATTAATATTTATCACATGAGATTAGAAATCCAATGAATAGGTTTATAGAAATATATGCTGGATATTTGCGCATCAAAGGATTATTTAAGCCACTGTATAAGTAGGTAAGCCAATGAGGGTTTTATAAAAGGGATTTTATGGTTATTCATTGCAGTCTTAGTTGCCATTAATCGTTTCAATTAAATCAATTCCTAAGTGCTCACGAGTGCTACCAATCAATTTGATAATTGGCTTTTTTATTTCTTGGAAAGTTTTCAAGTACATTACGTTTATTTTTTGTTCTTCCCCAAATTCGCATTTAATTGTTATGCACGTGACGTACATAGATATTTAGTTCTTATCAACATTGAGATACTTAGGGAAAGCCTTGCGATTGGAATCAAATGATAATGAATACGCTCTGCTGATAACCGCGGTTATCAGTTAGAGAAATATTACAACATGTCTAAAATTACCCTAATAATTATAGAATACGTTTGCTGTTATCAAACTACTAGAAAAAACATCGATAACTTTCTAATTTCATTAAAACTAAGATTTCAGTTTTGGTTGCCTGTTATTTGAAAACTTTGTAGACTAGTGCTGCAACCTGAAATCGACCGCTAATTCAACTAAGAACTCAACAGAATTCCGATTGACGAAACCGAAAACTTAAACAGCCTCCAAGTTCCCACTGAGCCGGCTAAGGAAAAGTTGAATTCCCTGCTGGATGTTGACAATCAATGTGCTTGGAAAATGGAATAACGTCAGGACCAAAACCGAACCCAAATAAGATGAAAAGTTTTCGGGTGGCTTTCCTCTGATTTCCACTTTGAGGTTGGGAAACTTTTCGGTCAAGATTTTCAGACATGTCTGTATTTGTGTCTGGTGGCTATGTGCGATGGCTCTGATTATGTGGTCCGTCCAAAAAAAGTGCCCCAAGTGAAAATAGTTTGGCGACCTTTAGCGATAATGCGCTGCACGCGCATCCTATCCTATCCTATTCTATATAGGCATCCAGATATAGTCGTACAGCTACATTCATTAGAGGCACACACTACGTGACCGAATAGTTGGCGCCGGAAATGCTCAAAACTGAGATATGAACACAGTGCTCCTCCAGCGGCTCCATTTCCTGTTCCCACTTTTCCTTGTCGCTCTACAAGTTCTTTTGTCTCAATCTGGTTTTTACATGCACTGCAAAAATTTGTACAACTCAGCCCCCGAACTTTGCATTTCTTGCCAGATCAACAAGACCAATCACTTTTTTAAGTGTAGTATATGTGGCTACATGCGCCAGTATCACGGATATATGCAAGTGTTGTTGCCGCTCTGGATTTATAAGATTTCTTTTATGCTCTTGCCGGGCCTACCACAAAACTTCTTTCATTTATCTCGGCCTCGCCCCCACCCACTTCCTCGGACCGCCCCCAAGTTTGGGGGACCAGCAAGTTTGTCAAACTATTTGTATGGAATTCACAATTTGTGTTGATGAAGTTTCGCCCAAGTCGGTCCAAGTCGCAGCTTACGAAGGCGACGGCGTGATCTGCGTGAACTGTGTGAACAAGTGTTTATGGAATTGAATTATTTTCCTTTTTCCTGGTTTTTCTTTCTTGTTGTAGACCTGGATTTCCCCTAGTTTTGTTTCTGATAAAACCAGGTGCGAAGGCGGACTTTGTGTGTTATCTCTTTTGGGGCTTACAGGTGGCTTTGTGGGCAGTCGCTCTTTGTGTGATTTAAAGTGGGTCCAATAAGCCGATTTCCTGGGCCTAACTGCCTGAGAACAAAGAAAACTTAATTTTGGTGGCAGGTTTATTTGAACACCATTAATTATTAAGAGTTTTGATGAAGCTAACTTTAATATATGTAATTAAGTTCAGGATGCGGCAGTAGTATCTTAAAGCAATAGTTTTAGTAGCCGGTATATTATTTGGCAATTGTTTATGACTTTATAGGGCTGTTTTTCCTTGATTTATATATAAAGTTTTCGTTTGAATTTTAATTGAAATACAACCATTGCATTTCAGCACTATGGAAGACGCTCAGCCTCGATTTATTTTGTTATTGCAGTGAGCACGGTTCACGTGTGTCGGCCTATATTTTTGTTGCACGACCTAGCGTAATAACAAAAACAAAAACAATAACACCGGCTGGGGCAATTGAAAATATAATTTCATAATTTATGGTGTTAGTTCTCGCACAGCGTTTTGGAGCCTTATGCAAATGATTGCGCTTTTTGGTTGTTTATTATTTTATGTTTTTGTTGTCTTCGCTTTTTTCTACTTCGAACAGCTCGGCTGCCATTCAATTACATTTTTGCAATCAAACTGCAATGTGGCCAGACAATGTTCAGTTGCTCACCTGGCCAGAACAGACAGACAAACATACAGGTATATATCTATATATATATAGATATATATATATAGCTATCCGGCGATGCCCTTAGCATATGTATAGGTGGGCATACGGGTGGACTGTGATGCATATAGGTTGCATAAATTTGTGACCCTTCAGTTTTCAATTGAATTTCTCTGCACGGCGGCAATTGTTCGAGGAAAACTTGGTCCTTGCATTGGCAGCAGTCGGAAAAACAACACAACTAAGCGGGAGAGTACCAATTTGCATGCTTGTAGTGGTGTGTTTTTCGGGCGAGTGGGTGGTGTGGGTGGTGTGGGCGGTGGTTTTTATATAACTGCAATAACATGAGCATGCAATTCTCCCCTCGATTTGTTTTAATTGTTGCTCCTTGCTCAGTCGGTCCTTGTTTTCGTTGCTGTTGATGTGATCCCCCTTGTTATTGTTATTTTTTCGGGTCTGTCTGGCGCTTATTGGCAATTGTCAAATATTGGTTTTTTCCTATTATTGTTTCATCAATGGCATGAAGCGATTTTAATTAATCGCCCAAACTTTGCCAATTTCAAAGTTTTTCGGGATTAGTTCGTTGTCATGTTCTCTGGCCAACAGTTGTCGGCATTTTAGATTATGTTTTGGGGGTTGGTTTTTCAATTAAGAGCCGCAGCAAGAGCCGTCCTCTAGATTTAATGTTACGCATACGCCATGTGTGCCATCTACGGTTACCATGTTTCCACACACCCACACCAGCACACTCGCACACCCACACATACATGCACACGCAAACAGGACAACTGGCAAAAGTAGCAGATTGGTAGCTCTGCCGGCTGCAAATCCTGTTAATCACCTCTATCACAGGTGAGGCATCTGCACGTAGCTCACTTTTTGCCGCTCTAAGTCGCAGCCGTGTTGTTACAGCAGCATGAAAGAGACAGTAAAAGATAGTTGGAAAGAGATGGAGCGTGGGGACAACCACTGCTGGTAGCATGTCTGATTTTTAGCTACATTTGAAGACAACAAATTGTTGGCTAGAACGAAATGTTTTCTAATATAATTTCCACTCTACCTATTTTGTAAAAATTATATCTTGTAAAATGAGAGTAAATGAGCTAATTAAAGAGAAAATATATATATGTGTATTATATTGTGCGTGTATGTATATTATATTATAATTTGCGTTGCAGTTTGACCCATTCATCACCTCGAAGGTTATATTTAAAGCGATTTTCACTGTATTCATTAGGGTTGACTTGTTGCAATCCGCAGCTTGCCAGCACTGCTTATATGTTGCCATATGCAGGTGGAGAAGTTAAATACACTCCGACTCTGTCAACTGAGACTTTGATCCGGCTGAAGCCTCCATCGGTGGTCTAATGCTGCAATTAGTGCCTCTTGCAACGCACGGCTTTTTGCGGTCCTGGTTTTTATGGCCCTCATTTGCCAATTTCGAAGGCGAGTGCATTACTGGCTTTCCGCCGACCTTTAACCGCTGGTCATTTAGATCCAACCTCTCAATGGACCAACAATGAACCATCTATGGTTACCAGAAATTGCGCTCCAAATGTATAATGCCCGATTTTAGTTTTAGTAGTTTTCTGCATTGTCCTCCTACTCTTTAGTCCTTTTCATGCGTGGGATGCTGCACTGTGGGATGTGGGAAACTTTACAACCAAGGGGGGGTTAAGGTCAATAGGTCAAATGCCCCGCACGATTTGGACAGAATTGAAAATTGCTTTAATCAATGGAAACAAAGCAGTTATTTATTTTTACTGCAGAAAAGGAGCACTTTCAAAGAGATAATTTGGTTTCGTTTACTGGCAATTAAAAATATTCTCTTAAAAATATATTCCTTTGGCATGTTTATGTTAGCTTCCTGAAAGTTTGGCGTGGCTGGAAAAATTCCAGATTGCTTGGTATGCTTTGCTTTTCATATTGATTTATATGAAGCGGATTTGCGAGCGTGTGTGTGGAGGGAATGCAACAAGTGCAACAATGCAATCAGCACACGCACACTCACTCAGCCGTTTACACAACCCCATGTATTTAAATGTTGCCCCAAGCATGTGTTTGTGGCATCGTGTGGAATTCTTGCATCCTTATAGTACATTTGGAGGGCGAGGTTGTGTGTGCACAGGAATAAAAGAATTTGTTTTAAGTTCAAATACTCGTAGTACATAATATATTTTCATATCCTTGGGCGGCGACCACATACTGGATAATTGCCAATGACTTAAAGAAAGCGGCTATGTTGTACGGCTTTCATTTAATACTCTCAGCAAGTTTGAAGCGCAATCGCTTGAAATCTAATATCTAATCCCCTTTTTTCTGAGTGCCTTAGCTGACTGCTAGTGGAGCATATTGAAATTGTTGCCATAGCGAGCGTAATCCCTGCCAGCGACGGGTTACGCGCTCTGAAAAGGGCAGATCGGCAGCCTTTTCCCAATGCTGATGCTGATGCCAACAGAAAAAATGTAATAAACGCCAAGAAAAATATTTG